CCAAGTGTGAGGGATTGTGAGTGAAGGCCGGCGCAGGCTTTCCGGTTTGCGGCGTGATCTGCGGTGGTCGTGTTTCAGCTTGCTCCGTTTCTGCGTTAGTTTTCTGTCGTTGTGGGGCAATGTGGTGGTCGTATTTTTGTTAAAACTCCATCGCACATTGCCCTGGTAGCGTTCACTGTATTCCGTCTCGCCTATCTTAATTTCAAAACAGTAATTAGTATATTTCTCCTTCAGCGTCCCGCGCTCACGCCATAATTTGGACTCCGACCCTTCCCGCCGCCAGGAAGTACTGCCACCTGCCAGCCGCTGTAAGGACGACGGGGCGGGTGGCTGGTTCGCGCTTGTGCTGACGACAGCCTAATGTGTGTCGAAATTGTGCTATTTAGTTTTAAGTCGTTCTTATAAGTAGTTCATAGGTTAATTTAAGTTAAGTTTAAGGTTAAGACCCAAGATGTCATCAACATCTCCCCACATCTCTCAACATCTCAGGCGGTCTGCGATGGCGACCGGCCCGGCGAGGGGCTTGTTTACCCCCCTCCACTTCCCCTCCGGAAGGACCGAGCTTCGTGCTAAATAGAAACGTTGACGGAAAAAGTTTCCGTACGATGAACCCCTTTGCCAACCGTCGGGAGCTCGAGCTCCGCACCGGTGAAGTGGATGGAGCCAAGCCGCTGCGCTCGGGAGCCCTGCTAGTTAAGGTTTTTTCGGAGCATCAGGCAGAGGCCCTGCTCAAATTAAGCAGTTTTCTGGGGCGGGCGGTCACAGCCACCATCGCAGACCGCCTGAACACCATCCAGGCGGTCGTCTACAGCCCGGAGCTGACCGAGCTGTCGGACGACGAGCTACTAGAAGAGCTGACCGAGCAAGGGGTGTGCGAGGTTATGCGCCTGTCCTCCCGCCGTCCCGGCCTGGGCCCCAACCCACTCGTCCGCCTGAGATTCAGGGGGCTAAAGCTCCCACGTGCGGGTACCTCATGGTCCCAGTAAAGGCCTGGGTCCCTCCTCCCCAGCAGTGCCGCACGTGCCAGCGGTTCAGCCACACCGACCGGACCTGCAGAGCTGCGCCCGACCTGCGGCCGCTGCGCCGACCTTCATCACACGCGGGAGTGTGACGCAGGAAACCCGCGCTGCGCCACATGTTAAGGCCCGCACGCAGCTGGGGACCGCCGCGCCTGTCCCGCTTGGCGTGTGCGGCGCGAGGCGCTGCGCGAGCGCCAGCAGCAGGCAGCGGCAGCGGCCTATGCACCGGTCCGAGTGCTCCAGCCTCAGGAGTGGCCCACGCCGCGGGAGGCGTACCCTCATCCTTCCCCTCTAACACCAGCTCCGCGGTGGTGCCCCCCTCCCCCCTCCGCGTCCTGTTGAGGAGCCCGAGGTATCGAACCAGTGTTGTGCCTCAGCACAACACTGGTTCGATACCTCCACCGCCCCTCCCCAGCAGGTCAGCCGCGTCCAGTGCCGCGTACGATCGAGTCCGCGCCAGTCGACCGAGTCACAGCAAACCCGGCGGCTGCGAGCCTCCCTGAGCAGGAACCCGCCCCACCAAACTCGGAGAGCCTCTCTCCCACCCCAACACGTCGCTGTTGGTCCACTCCACCCGTGCCGACGTCCCAAGAAGCCCCATTCGATGCCTCACCCGCCGCGCTCCCGACTCCAACCCCCCGGGCCAGTCCCTCAGCCGAACGCCGAGCCCGGCCCGCTACGCGTTCCCGCCGTCGCGCCCCTCGATCGCCCTCTCACTTACCCTTACCCTGTTTACATGGGCAGCTGCGATTCGAATTAAGCCGGGACCCGTCCCCGATCCGAACTATCGGGCCCATGTATGCGCTCACGCGCCGTTCCGCAAATTCGAATCACGCGCCGGCGGAAACCCCTTCCCGTGAGAGGATCATCCGTTCAAGAAGGGATTTCGTCCGAATTATCGGCCGTCAGCTGTCTAAACAAAAAAAAAAGAAAAATGCCTGGCGCACGCAGTTCTGTTCAAGGCCATTTCAGCTCTGTTTGGTGTTGCCGCTTTCCACGGGTCTTTAGCTATTGCTCGAGACGGTCCAAGTCCAAGATGGTCAAGGAAAAGAGAAAGAAGGTGAAGTTGACACCATGCTGCTAAAACTACCCTTATTATTGAGGGCCTTGAGTGGCTAGCAGCACAGAAATCCTCACGTAATTTACCCTTGCTAGGCGCGTGATCTATGCAGACAGCAGGCGTCGGCGGTGCTTGGTGTTATCTTCTTCCGCCTAAAGGTTAGATTAATTTACATCTGGGGCAGGCTCCATGCTTCCAAAAGCCAAATGGAGGTAATATGGTCATTTTATATAGCTTTGACTTGTTCTCACTTTAATTTTTGGATTGCTCAAAATTCTTGCAGAGAATGCCTCCAAGTTTCTTTCATTAAGTTAATACCTAAAGGCCCCAGGAGTGTTTTTGCAGATGTTCCTTAAATTAGGATGCTGGTTGCTTCTCAGTTAAATTTGTGTAAGAAAGGTAGCTTAAAAATTGCTGCATGATATGACGGATGAACAAATATAGATCATTGCAGTCAGCTCGGAATGTGAACTTTTTTAATGGTAGGACCGAAATTGCCCAATGACGGGGTCAGAACAGCAAGAAAGCAAATGTGAACACTGGATGAAAATAGTTGTCATCATTACTCTGCTAAATCCAAGTTTGTGTGTTCCATGTGCAGGAAAACAGTGCATAAACTAACACCTAACGTGATGGCACATGCTGCATGGAGAACACGTCTGTGTTGCATATCATCACCTGTTTTTGTACTGATGATTAAATATGTCACCTTGGTGCTTTTTTGTGATGGGTGTCTGCAGGCCATGAGGTAGGTACTTGAACTGTTCAACAATTCTTGCAGGGAGTACCAATAGTTTCTTGCATTAAGTGAATACATAAATGCCCCAGGATTGATTTTGCAGACATTCCTCCTGTGACTTGAACATTTGGTTGACCACCTATTGGCAGGAGGGATGTGCTGGATATTGGTGACTGGCTCGTCAAGGAAATATGAAGCTACATCACACTGGTAGACCAAATGGCAAGGAAGCGGGGGCTGGAATATTGTTTTTGATGCGATTAGGCCGTTTGTTGCTTGTCGGTTTAGGGTGTGTGAGATAGGTAACTCAATAGTTCCTGCATGATGCAAAGGATCAACAAATATAGGCAATAGATCATTGCAGTCAGTGCAGAATGTGAACTATTTTTAATGATGGGGCCAAAATTGCCCAGTGATGGTTCCAAAATGTCAAGAAAGCAAATGTGAGCACTGGATGAAAATAGCTGTCATCAGTACTCTGT